TGCTACATTCGTTAACCGTACAGTACTGCCATGCACTAAGAGTATAATCATTTTAAAGGATTTCTTTTAGAAGACCTAGGCAGTGATACTCCAGTATTGAAGACGGGACTGTGCTTATGGGACTGTAGGAACCAGAAGTTTAGCCAATGTGCTTCAAATACTGATTGAGCTTACCAGCTCTGGGACAAGACAGGTGGCATTTCCGTCTTTAGCTGTATCTAGTCTGTGCTTCAGCCTCTTCATCTGGCATGATAATTAGCCTTTCTCAGGAGGTTATTTGAAAAGACCAAATGAGATGACGTGTGTAAAGGGCTTATTCTCATGCTTGGCTCCTAGTACATCACAACTTTTATTCTTGGTTTCTCCCAGCCCACTCCCCCTACACAACTCTTCAGATAAGGACCAAAATATTAATCAACTCAGGTGTTGGTGCAGAGGACCAGTCTTAGAAAGCTGAACCACTTACCACTTACATGAGTAGACATCCTTTACTATCTGCATTTTATCATTAAAACTTTAGAAAGTAGAGGAGGCGGGAGTTGGCATGTGGTAGAGAGAAGTGCAGGGGGCTTACTTTTTTTTAGCTTATCCCTTAATGAGTAACTTCATTTGATGTCATCAGTGTAACAAATGTGTATATGTTTATGAATGTGAGTATATATAAGTGTAATCAGTGTGTCAAATGAATAGATATATAGTCAACTGTATTCATTTGATATGTGACCAACTAGCCTAACAGGATGACATAAATTCTGTCTTTCAGATCTTACAGGATAATAAAATTAAGAGGGTTACCTGATCCAACTCTAAAGTAGATGAGAAAACTTGAAAGCCAAATGGTTTAAAATTAAATGCCTAGTTATTTGCATAGTTGGGCATAGAGTCCATTTTGACTGATCCCAGATTCAGTCATCTTTCCCCGCTGAAATAGGTCCCTTATCCCTCACTAAGCTTGGCCTAAAGGTAACTCTAATGTATCCTGGTTAGGGAGACAACAAATTTCAGTTGTCACTCAGCCCTGCCACTCACTAGAGAAGTTATAGCGGCAAATTCACATTAAGCCTTGACTTCATCCCAGGTAACATGTTGATAGTACCCATGTTATAAGGCCCTATGGGGAATTAAATCGTGTAGTGTGTGTGTGTTATGGAGCCCAACATATTGTAAGTCTTCATACGTGATGGCATGCTTATATAACTCCTTTAAAAATTATTCTCTTAATGTTCATTGTGAAATGTATAATATGTAGATTAGCAAAAAGAAAATGAAAAGCACCCAGAACACCATCATCCAGAGACGATCTCAGACTTTCCGTATGTATTTTTCTCATTTAGTTTTGATTGTACTTAAATCATCTGAAAAATACAGCATGAAATCCTGTGTGTTGGTGACCCATTAGAACAGAATACTTCACATTAATCGTGAAAGAAAAAGCCACAACAAAGACTAATCATTCTTTCAAAAGAACAGAACATTACTACTAGAAGTTTTGCCATATTATATCTAGCAACATGCATGTATACATTGAATCTATTAGTTTTCCCAGTAACTTTGTTACTTTTTCTTTCCCTCTTTAAACTCCAACTTGAGTTGTCTATGTATCTGCCAACAAGTTTTTTCCCTTTAATATAATGAATTGTCTATCCTACAGACCTTGGAAATAAGTCTTACCAGATTAGACTTCTAGGGACTCAGAGAATGCTTTGATTCGCAGTGTTCATGTTTAAGCTGCAAAACCCTTTTTGTTCAAGGAAGTTTAAATCACTGTGAGGAGGAATGTCAAAAAAACAAATTGTTATCTTTTGTATCTCCTTGTTCAAGAAAAGTGATTTTATAGGGTCCTTTCCATGGAATGTGCATTGATGTTCTAAAGTTTTAGCCTGGCTGGTCTTTGTTTTTGTTGCATCTTCATTTTGTGGCCTGAGGCTAGTGAGCTAAAAAGATTAGTTCATGTCAAAGAATTTGCTTTCCAATTGAAGGTTACTGGAGGAATGCTTCTCCTGGATCGATTGTTGTGTGCGTGTTGCCATGAGCTCAGACGATTTTAATTTCTTAGACTTGTAGTGGTGAATTGTAGGCTACTTTTAAGACTGTCCAGTCCCTTCCCTGTCAGAGGGCTTGAGGCAGGTCTTTCCCAGGCCATAAAAACTGGGCAGAGATGGGGTTGACGGCAGAGGGTGGTAGCGGGAAGGCGGGGCACCCAGTGTGTCTCCATACTGAGGGGAAATATAAATTGTGTCCCAGTAAGAGAGTACCAGGAGCCACAGTTGAGACAGTGTGAAGGAAGGTGGTCAAAGACAGCTGTAGGACGCTAGGGCTCTGAGAGCCAAGAGTAGAAGAGCTATTGAGAGTGACTTGAAATAGAGCCATAGAAGGTGGGGCTCACCTTGGGGTCCAGCTTTATTGGTAGCATCCTGTACTGGTGGGTTCAGCTTGTTAAAGGACTCTGGACAGATCAAAAGAAAGCAAAGTTAGGGATTAAGAGGTTGTTATTAACCTTCAGCAACATTTTCCCTGAATGTTATTAATGGTGTTCCTATTTAGGAAAATGTTGCTCATTTGAGAGCTGTTTGTTTCAGTACTCGGAGTTATTGCCAATGCTGGCTTTTTTCCAATCCTGGTAATCCTCCGAGGTTTCCCAAAGAAAAAAGTGCTTTGTTTTGTTTTTCCCTTCTCCCCATGGGATAACTGGTTTATGTATAATTTAATTATTTTGTTAACCAGTTGTCCTATCACAGCATACAAAAACAACCTTAAAAACCCACCTCCCCGCTCTGTGCTAAGATGTTCATAATTGATTTTCCCACCATTACAAGTGCATGTATACATGTTATAACAGCGAAATTTCTTGCTAAAAGCTAAGTTGGACTGACTCTATATTTTATATTTTCAGGAGTGCCCTTGGAGCCTTAGGAAGTGATTTAGAATAAGAAGAACTAAAATAAATGATCAGTTTCAAAGAAGCATTACAGTCTTGAGGCTTCTGTAGGGAAGTCATTTTTTTAAAAATCACCTGGGACTGGTATTTTCATCACAGTGAATCTTGAAAGATTCTTCTTGCAGTGGCAGAGTGGGGAGGGAACTTTATCACTATCTGGTCTTGCTCATGTCTCTCCTCTTAGTTGATTTTTTTTAGTCTTATTTCATCTTTCCCCATCATGCCATTCCTGGGAAAACGTTTTATCCTAGTGGGTGGCTGGTAAATTTGGTTGTTTATTTGGTGTGAGGTTTATTTCAAGTCTGTACCTTCCTTGCTCATCCAATTTTTTTTTTTTTTTTTTTTTTTTTTTTGCAGGGATGGGGGGGGGATGGGGGTGGGATGGGGGTGGGATGGGGTGACATTAAATATCTCACAATCAAGTCTACAATCCATTTGAAGCCTTCATGTTATAAATATGGTTTATTGAGTCCATTTGCACAAATCTAATTGGAGCTAAATAATTCAATCTGGCCTAAGAATACAAGGTACAGATGTGCATAATGCTGCTGAGACCAGCTTAGGCTTCATCCACTTGCAGACTTTTTCTTTGCTGTTTTTCCTCATTTTTCTCATTTGTGGAGCTGCAGATATTGCCTTTCATGGTCATGTTGTTGTCAGATCCCAGTGATTAGACTGTAGGCCTCCAAGGCAAGTTGGTGTTTTCTTTTTTATGAGTAAAAACCATTTCAGCTTTCCTTGTGGGGAATCCTTTTGAGTCTCTGAATCATTCACAAATACGGTAAGGTCTAATTTTATTCCATAAGAAGAAAAGAGAATATTTCACTTTTCCTATTCAGAGCTTCCGCCCTCTCTCCGAGCTTTGCTTCTCTCTGCTTATTGCTTTGGGATCATCTGCAGTGGCAGATGGCTTTATGCAAATCAGGCCAATTACTTTGGTTATAGTACAGATCACCTTGGATTATGAGTAACTTCTAGATTAGTAAAACCGACATGTTTCTTGGAAAACTTACCGAGACTGAAAGGGCAAACTGTCTTCTGCTGACCCATGAGGCCATGGTTCCACACATGTCTCTGCCATCTTAGTGACCACTTTAAGGACATTCCCTCACTCTCCTGCTCATTAAGTTTTATAGGTCTACCTGGCCATAGAAAAATTATTTTCAATGCCTGTTTGTTAGCCATATTTCATAATCTCATTATTTATTAGTAAACAGGTGATAATGCTGTCTTCATTATGACTAGTTTTGACAGAGAATAGACATCAATATAACTTTAATGCATTTTTCATTTTTTTGCTAGAAATTAAGTTGCCTAATAGTCTTTGATAACCTTTGCTGAAATTTCTATAAAATCAAGTTCTTTTTTCCTTTCTCTTTCCTCCTCCCCTCAATTTCTAAACCTTATGCATTGACAGAACAGTCCATCTTCCAGAATGGCTTTCACAAGATCATCAAGGTTTTTTTTTTTTTTTTCCTCCTCCTCAAATAGGTTTTATCACCTTACTTCTTGAGATAGTGTGAAGTGAATAGCTAGAAAATGAGAGAAACCTTGACCAATTAGCCCTAAACTATCAGTAGCATTCCTAACCCAGATAAAGGATTGAGTTCTGTGGCTTCAGTGCCATTCAATTTCCTTTCCAGATATGCCACAACAGATAAAGATCATTCCTGTCCATTTGCTAAATGGTCACAGAGACACCTTAGATTCTCATTCCCCTGTGGCAATGTTTCAGTCTTTTAACCTTCTGCCATTAGACTCCCTTTCCTTCTGGTACAGAGATGTGAGGATTAAATGACTAAGGAATTAATTGCTGTAGAGTACTTTGAAGGATAGATGTAAAATATAATCTCTTTCTTCTGACCTTTGCTGCTGATTGTTTCATCTGAGAGGGCACTTGTATCTCGAATACTAGCTAAAAGCATGGGAATTTGGCTAATAATAAAAATAGCACATATTAATATAGTGCTCGTTGTTTGCCAGGAGCTGTTCTCGGTGCTTTGTTTGTATATTAATTCATTATAGATGAAGTTGCATACTTAGTGTCACTGATGTGTTTTAGGTTGAAAATTGGTGTCCTCATTTACCTTGGAGAGCAAAAAATCCCTACGAAGAAGCTGATCATAATTCATTGGTAAGTGATTTTGGAAAACTCTTTCTAGACTTGGGCATTTAGGTCAGATGCCAAGTGATACATGTGGAATCTTCTAGAAATGTCAAGTGTAACCTGAAATAGTGTTACACTGAAAAACTTCCGTTATTCATCTCTGTGGAAGTCTAGGTGACCAAATCAGTCAACCATTAGCATATGTTTGTTTACTGAGCAATTCTCTGAGGGTTCCTAAATGATGGGCTGCTGATATGAGTAAGACCTGGTACCAGATGTGGAGGCCCTACGTGATCTAATAAGGGTGATGGCAGATAATGACCATCTCTGTCACAAATGCTGTAATATAGGCCTGTGGGAATTAATGAGGAAGAGCTCATTTTAGTCTGCGATATTCAGGGTAGATTGCATAGTGAAGATGACATTGGAGCTGAATTTAAAATGATGAGTGATTTTATATAAGGTCAAGGAGAAAAGGGTATCTCTCATATGGGAAAATGAGAGCATGGCAGTTTCTGGGAGTAGAGCCTGCATGGTTCAGTTGGCCAAGGCCATAGGGGATTGGATGAGCTAGGCTGAAGATGAAACTGGGAAGGTCGGAAGGGGACTGTGAAAGTACTTGTTGCCCCATTAAAAGCATAAGTCTTTATTCTTTAGACCATAGATCAGCAAACTTCTGCAAAATACCCGGATAGTAAATAGTTTCATCTTTGCAGGCCATGTGGTCTCATTGCAGCTCCTCAATTCTGCCATTGTAACAGAGAGAGCAGCCCTGGATAATATGTAAATGAAGGGGCGTGGCTGAGTTCCAGTAAAATTTTATGCACAAAAATAAGCAGTGAGGATTTAGCCCAAGGGCTGTAGTTTGCTGATCCATGCTGTAAACCACAGGAGTCCTAGGATATTGTTTAGTCAAGAAGGGAAATGAAACTGGGTGTAGTGGCTCATGCCTGTAATTTCAGCACTTTAGGAGGCTGAGGCAGGAGGATTGCTTGAGGCCAGTCATTTGAGACCAGCCTGGGAAATACAGCAAGACCCCATCACTACAAAAAATTTAAAAACTAGCTGAGCGTGGCGTGTGCCTATAGTTTCAGCTACTTGGAAGGCTAAGGTGACAAGAGGATCGCTTGAGCCCAAGTTCAAGGCTCCAGTGAGCTGTGATCATGCCACTGCATTCTAGTCTGGGTGGGAGTGTGAGACCCTATCTCAAAGGGGAATAAAGAAAGAAAAGAGATGAGTGTTTAGAATGAGCTATGGTGGTGGCTGAAAAGGTGGATTCAGCATGTTTGAGATGTTCTGTGAAATAAATCCTGGTTATTATGTTTCTCTGTTATTCCAGTCACTGATTGTATCCAGCTATATTCTCTAGAACATTAGGAAAAATATTCTTCCTGGCTTTTAAGTTATTCTGGTCTGAATTTTAAATTGTACGTGCTCATGACAGAAAAGTAGTATTCCTGGCTCTTAAATTCCTTAGAGAACAATGAATTTTTGTTTGGACTGGGACAAAACCAGAAGATGAACATTTATTTCCCTGTTTAACTCCGTGGACAGAAAGAGGCTTTTTGGCAACTTCCACGTTGTCAAACAGCCTGCTAAGAATTGACTTCAGTTTTCTTAGAAGTCTGCTGTCCTATGGTAGATCCAAATGGCACAGTAAATTTGAGTGCTGAGAATTTCAAGGTACATCAAGCATACTCATTATAAAAACTGCATTTGAACATAGCTCAGGGCTTTGTAATGCCTGTGCTGCTTTTCTCGATTTCTAATTTTTTAATGATGTCCCTTCCGGCAGATCAGCAGTCAGCAGCCTTTGCTTCAATTTGCAGTCCTGGGACCTTAAAGTCAAAGCTGCAGCAGACAAGACTTACTTTTGAAGCTCTCAATTTAATTGACTAACCCTTTTAAGTTTTCAAATGTCACATCATGAAAACCATTATGCTTTCTGACTTTTTATCTTCTATTCATTTTATTAAATTTCTGTTGCTAGGCGGAAATTCGTACAGATTTTAATATTCTCTACAGTATGATGAAAAAGCATGAAGAATTCCGGTGGATGAGACTACGGATCCGGCGAATGGCTGACGCATGGATTCAAGCAATCAAGTCCCTGGCAGAAAAGCAGAACCTTGAAAAGAGAAAGCGGAAGAAAGTGAGTTTCTTATTAATTCAGTGCAGTTAGATGCCAGTTTTCTTTTAAAATTTGATTTTGCTTGGAAACAAGACTAAGAGAAATGTCATATCTCAAATGATACTCCCTCAGGGTGATTCTGCTCAGTCTCTTGTACAGCTGTTTTTGGGTTGGCCTTTGCCTACTTACAATGCTCCTACTTAGCAGGGTCTGGCACAAGTTTCTTGGGTGAAGCCAAGCAGAATATCTGCCTGTAAGACTTTTCCTTCGAACCTGTCTTTGTCAGGGTATCAGGAAACTTTCCCCCATTTCCTTACCTGAATCCAACCTTTGAGAGCTTCCTATTATATCATCATGAAAATTTTGTATTTTTGTTGATTTTCATCCCTGGCTTTTGGACAGCCAGTGAGTTTCATTGTTACTCTGTCTGGTTGGTGCTTCTGCTTATGCTCCTAGGAGAGGGAGAGAAAAATTTGATTAAATTTGAGCCAGTTGCTTTCTAGTTCATGAGGAGAGACTTGGAAAACCTCTCGAATACCCCTGGACTTAGAAGACTTTATGCCCTGTTAGCTATGGATTTGGTGGTCTGGCTTTAGATTAACTGTTCTGATTTCAGAACTGAGCAAAGGGAACAATTTGCTCCCACATCTAAAAAACTTAAAAATGAGTTTGGTATTCCTAATCCAACTGATCTGATATGTTTGAAAAAGAAAATAAAGATATATATGCAAGACCCCAAGCCACAGTTTGATAGATCACTTTTGCCTAGATCTTGTGAATTTGTGAGACAGCAGGACGAAACATTCTGTCACCAAACGGTCATGTATGGAAGAGCATGTGTTCACATGCACAGGTGGACTGTAAAAAGAAATAAAGAATTTTTCTATATATTCCTGTGGAGTAACCTTGAGGATGTATTGTTAGGTGAAGAAAAGTAGAGAATAGTGTACATTATTTTTAAGAGAGAGAGGAAATTTCTATCTATGTATACATATAGATATATACAGATACATACATTTGCTTCTTGCTCTTAGTTTGAAAATGTATTTTTCTTATTTTGATAAACTAAAATTAAAAATAAAGGAGATGGTGATGATGGTTGCACAATAATGTGAATGTGCTTCATGCTGCTGAACCGTATACATTAAAATGGTAAATTTTATGTTGGGTGTATTTTACTACAATAAGAGGGAATAAAAAGGTCAAATAAGGGGAGTTGGGATTAGCATGGAGGCAACAGAAACTGCCATAGAAACTAGACTTCTGAATATATCTGACTTTGTAGATTTGACACTGGAATCATTTTATGTAAGTGCTAAATGAAATTTTATTACCAAAAACTAAAAATTAGGAGGAATACAAAACAAAAGAACTGACTATATATCCATCCAGTTTTGATGGAAGCACACAGAAAGATTATTCTTAGTGACTTTAGAACACAGTAAACGATACACTTCTGATGGGATATCACAAAGGATAAAAAACTGTAAAAACATCTTAAAACCATTTTTATTAATCATGTAATATGCAGTAGCATTGATATTCTCATTCTGAATCCATTGTGAACATTGGAGTAAAGCAGATGAGTAATTATGTTAGTGTCTTTGAGAAGTGGGATCTAAAGTGTGGAAGAAAAGAATTAATGGATGGTAGGATTGGTGATGATCATCACCAATGATGGGTGAGGGGTTGGGAGAAAATGGGGTTATAGATTAAGATATGTAAAAACACTGTAACCCTGAGTTTGAATTGGAAGCACCAATCGGAACTCATGATTTGCTTTATCTTTGAGGAAAAACAAATTTCCTAGGTAGGGCCACTGTAAGGCCTATAAATAGTAATAAAATTGAGTCCCTTAAGCCCCACACTTTAGTCTCTAAATGCTATTTCTACTAAGTGGTATAAGAGGTTCTTGGAAAAATGGCTTATTAAGGTCCAAGGCAGAAATTGTACCTGTTGAGCCTAGAACAATCTTGTCAGGCACCACATGCGGAGAAGCTATCAAAGAAGACTAAGATCATGTCAAAGGAACTTAGGAGCCAGCTTGGATAGCCTCCCACAGGCCCAGGTGGGACAACTGGATAGTTGGTAAGAGGAATATCCACAATATTTTGAAGCATATCAAATAGCTTTGATGTTATAATGATTTTTTTAATTAAAAATCCTCATAGATCATCATTAGAGTAGGCTAAAAAACAAGTTTATTGTTCTGAAAAACTGGCAAATAAAGAGAAAGACTCAAATATTTACCAGGCTCCTTCTATACCAAGTACAAGTTTGGCTGCATTTATCTATAACCTTAGAGTTAACCTCAGGGTGACCAAATAGTTGATGAGGGGTAGTTTCTCTTCATAGAGAGGCATTCCAGCTAATAAACAAAGAATGGTAAAATATCATTTTGCAGTCCCTAATGGATTAATGGATCTAGCTAGTGACCATCAAGGACTGCTAACATCCCAAGACAGACACACCTGTACATTGTTTCCTATGAGGCTAAGAGACATATGAGGCAATTATTATGTATGTTCTCTGACTCTTGAATCGCACAAGTGCACTTAGAAAAAATAAAGGGCAGTTGAAGAAGTATGAATATTAACTGGATATCGGATGATGTTAAGGAATTACTAGGTTTTTTAGGGATAGTAGTGATGTTCAATTTATATTTTTCAAGTGAAGGTTTGTTCCTTTCAGAAATGCATACCAAAATATTTATAGATGAAAGGATATGTCAAGAATTTGCTTTGAGATAATCTAGAGGGGTTGGGAGAAAATGGGGTTATAGATTAAGATTTGTCATGCATTAATAATTGTTGAAGCTACACAGTAATTACTTTGGTATTGACTATTGTCATGTATATTCAAATTTCCAATACTTTCTATGTATTTGAAATTTTCCATGGTAAGAGGTTAGAAGTATTTTAGCTGTAGATAAAAGACCAAGAGTGTTAGAAAATGTTGTCCTGTCTTACCTTCCTTTAATCCTGATTTTAAAAATACACTGTGCTTTCAAAAGGTGGGATTATCTGTCCATAACCTTGTACTCATAGCCATACCAATGGCTGCAGTGATTTTATTTCTCTAAAACCACAATGAAAAATTATTTCCTTCCTTTGTACCTTCTAGAAAAACAGCATTCCCCACACTGAGATTTTGTTAGGATGTAAACATGACTTTGGGATTTGTTGATCACTTCTTGGCGCAGTACTGTGCATTTTGTATGTGGTTCAGTGTGAATCAGTATATGCCTCTCTGTTTTCCAGGTCCTCGTTCACCTGGGACTCCTGACCAAGGAATCTGGATTTAAGATTGCAGAGACAGCTTTCAGTGGTGGCCCTCTTGGTGAATTAGTTCAGTGGAGTGATTTAATTACATCTCTGTACTTACTGGGCCATGACATTAGGATTTCAGCTTCACTGGCTGAGCTCAAAGAGTAAGGAGATTACTTTTCAATTTTAAAATCAGAATACAGGAAAGAAATTGTAAACTCTTGAAGTGTTACCTCTATTAGTGTGTAATTTTTTGTCGAGGAAAATGAAAGTGATGATTCACTAAACAGGAGATAAGAAGATTATTTTCAGGAGCTAAATACATACACTGTGAAAAGGATAATATGTTTTCATTGTAGCTGAAGGCTCCAGAGGCTTCATAAATGAATACCAGAAAATTCAAACTAAGGAGCTTATTCTTTGCTATTACAGGTGCTTCCAACATCTGTAGCACGAAACATTATTGACTTTCCTAATTCCCTGTCTCTTGCTAAAATTCATACCACTGCCTACTCAACATCAATCTTTCTAAGTCTTAAAACAGGGCAGGTTCCTGTTTGTAATTTAATTTGGATAGAACAAATTTCCTGAAAGCCCAGAGCCGGTCCTTTTTCAATTAGCCAACTTGCACCTGAGTCTGTTAACTCTACTTGGGTGTTTTATTTCACTGAAATTTGCTTCTAGCTCCAGCCCTCCTGTAATCCCTTCTATATTGGCATAGCTGGCTGAGCAGGGACGCTTCCATCCCCTGCAGTTGCTTAGGATAATTGCCCATGGAGACTTCCCACCCAACAGTCAAGTTGTCATGTTGCTATATGTCGTATATTTCCAGAAGAAATACCTTGAATGAACATTCTAGAGCTCATTGAGATGAGAGACATGTTAAAACAATATATGGTGGCTCCCAGCACTTTGGGAGGCCAAGGTAGGTAGATCACTTGAGACCAGGAATTCAGGACCAACCTGGCCAACATGGCGAAACCCTGTCTCTACTAAAAATACAAGAATTAACCAGGTGCAGTGGCCCATGCCTGTAGTCCCATCTACTCGAGAGGCAGAGGCTGCAGTGAGCTGAGATCATGCCACTGCACTCCAGCCTGGGTGACAGAGCAAGACTCTGTCTCAAAAAAAAAAACAAAAGCAAACAAAAAAAAATTGGATACACAACCTACAAAGTGGCTGCATTTGTACAGTTAGCAGTCACTCATCTGGTGCCTTCTATAGGCTAGTTTTGGTGTAGGACATACAGAGATGACCAATGCGTGGTCAAGGAGCTGCCAATCATTTGATAATTACAATTAATATATTACATAATAACTACACTAATTCCAGTTCTGTTGGTGCTAAGTGAGGTGTATGTGGATGCTAGAATGTAAGCACTGGGATTACAGAAAACTGAGTATTGTCACTGTGTAGTGGGCATCTAGATAGTGCCTAGCAAGGCATCTAGATAGTGGCTAGAATGGAGTGCTGTGGTAGTACCAGGGACAAGTACTGCTTGGGGAGGTCAGGAAAGGCATGTTAGGAATTTATCAGTCAGAGACTGAATTTGATGGTCGAGGGAAAATTTGTTCAGTATGTCCTCACTTAACATTGTTGATAGGTTCTTGGAAACTAGGACTATAACTGAAATTATGTAAAATCAAGCCAGTTTTTTTCATTAACATTATAACCACTGATTTGAAGGAAATGACTTTATTGGTGGGCCTGCTATCTGTTGTTTTGTTTAAAGTCCCAGTTTTCAGGAACCTATCGATGAGGTTAAGTGAGGACTTAACTCTAGTAGTCTTTATGCACACTGGGGTCAGGGCTAGATGTGTTTTATTTAAGAAGATAATTGTGGAAGCAACATAGAACAGTGGTCTTTAAATATATCTGTACTTTAGAACCACCTGGAGATCTTTGTATTAATTTTTTAACTTTGGGGTATCTTTTAAAATTCCCACAGACCATGCCACAGGCTAATTAAATCACAACCCTTGGGGGTAGGGCAGAGCCATAAGTATTTTGTGATGCCTCCAGGTAATTTCATTATACAGGCGAGTTTGGGAAACACTGAGCATCATGTTTGCAAACTATGGCTCAGCAGGCCAAATCAGCCCTCTGTCTTTTTTTGTAAATAAAGTTCCATGGGGCCAGGCATGGTGGCTCACGCCTAAAATCCCAGCACTTTGGGAGGCCGAGGCGGGTGGATCACCTGAGGTCAGGAGTTCGAGACCAGCCTGACCAACATGGTGAAACCCTGTCTCTCTTTTGTAAAAATGCAAAAATCAGCCAGGTATGGGGACAGGCACCTATAATCCCAGCTACTCAGGAAGCTGAGGCAGGAGAATCGCTTGATCCCGGAGGGTGGAGGTTGCAGTGAGCCAAGATCGTGCCATTGCACTCTAGCCTGGGCAACAAGAGCAAAACTCCATCTGAAAATAAATAATAAATAAAGTTTCATGGGAACACAGCCATGCCTATTGTTTACATATCATGTATAGCTGTCTTCATTCCACAACGGGCGAATGGGCCAGTTGTGACTGAGAATGTATGGCCTGCAAAGATGAAGATATTCACTGTCTGGCCCTTAACAGAAAGGGTTTTCTGACTCTTGGGAAGAAACTGGTTCTGCAGAACCTAGTTCTTTCATAAACAGGGGAGAAGGAAGGAGGGTGGCTGATGTGGTGGTTAATACGGAGCTGTCGAGCAGAGTCCTGTTTGTGACTCTTGTCCTTTGAAGCAGGATGTTCATAATTTGGTGAAGGATTATTGTGGGGTGTGGGCCGGGATAAGCAACAGTGGTGGTTGATTAGTAAGTGGGTAGCAGTAGGGTTAGCAGTTACTTGTTCCTACACATGAAGTTGGCCTACCAATCAAGTACATCATCACACTCTGAGCACAAGTGTGGTTTTGTGTGTATGAATGCATGGGTGGGGGAAAGGGTGATAAAAATAAAACTATAAACCGTAGTGCCAGTTCTGTAATATGGTCAAGCTAGGAGGAAAAATTTGACATAGCAGAAAAAGTTAAGGAACAGTATGAGACAGGTAGAAAGAAGTTAATACTATAGAGGCTAGAAATTGAAGACATTTAGAAAAAGGGGATGGGGGGCAGGTTAATAAGGGTGCTGAGCAGTAAGAACAGGCTCTGGGGGAGAAAACTAAGTTGTTGAGTGTCTGGTATTCATTAGGCACTTTCTTTTCAGTATCTCATTGTGAAGAACCCCTGAGAGATTGGCGTCCAATGCTCTTTGTATCCAGTCCTTGTTTTCTGGAATGAGCAAAGAGTTTGAGAGAGGTTAAGTAACTTGTTTAAGGTCTCACAGCTGCTGCATAGTGGTGATGGAGTCAGACCCATGTCTTCCTTGATTTCAAAGACTGTGTTTATATGCCACCATTTGCACCATTTTGCATGAGTCAGAATCAGGGTACTGGGTTGGCCTTAATGGATGGAAATAATTTATATAAGTAGCAGATTTGAAAGGGCCATGCTGTCATCTCTAATAAGGATTGTTGTGGTGGCATTTGACCATTAAAGTTGCCAAGTTTATTACCTTTTAAGTAAATGATCTTTCTCTTTTTTCTCCCCTCTCTCTTGCCGTTTCTCTAGAATCATGAAGAAGGTTGTAGGAAACCGATCTGGCTGCCCAACTGTAGGAGACAGGATCGTTGAGCTCATTTATATTGATATTGTAGGACTTGCTCAATTCAAGAAAACTCTTGGACCATCCTGGGTTCATTACCAGTAAGTGCTGCATGGTTTTCTGACTTAAGGGGTTTTTTCCCCCTCAACAAAGGTTGCATGGTTGTGGGTAGAAAAAGCTTCTCAAATAGTATCTTTTCAGCTGTATGGAGTGTATTGCTCATTCATAATTGAAATTCAGATTCTCAGTGACTTTGTACTTTCTTTGGCTATTCATTATTTTCATTGGTTTCTTAAAAATAGAAAACAAGTGTTCAACCTCCTACCTTGACTAGTATTAATACTTAGCCTTCCTCTCAGTATGCGTATGCCAGTGTTATCTATTTAATCAAATAACCATTTTGATAAGATACGTACAGTGTCATTTCTTGTGTTCCTTGGGTTTTAGATCATGATTGACTTTTCTTACCCTTTACCTCATCAATATTCTTGTCATTCATGGAAGGGAAATCTGGGAATACGTTATCTGAATGCTGGGATCTTGCACTTTTTAAGATAAGCCAATGATTAGTATGACTGTGGTGCATGTGTACTCTGTGCAGTCTTTATTATTTAGTAGAGTAGCTCAGTGTTTCCCTGAGTGTGGGTTTGGGACCACGATTTAGTATTTGAAACACTTTTACCTGGTATACAAACATGGCCCTAAATCACAATGAATTATATAAAGAAATTTATTAATTTTTCAATTTTCTTTCAGTCTTTTTGAGAAAAGGTGTAGTTTGATGCTACTATATCTCTGTCACTACTTTTAACACATGCATTCTTAACAATGTGAGAGTAGCTGTGAGTCTCAGCATTCAGCACGCAAAAGTATCTATTCTAAATTGTAAAATACTTCCTAAAGGTTATATGCTTTTTTGTTGTTGTTATCTTGCATGTATGGCGGTCAATACTGGGTTTTTTCTTTCTAATTTTTGGGGTTTTTTTTAATTTCTCATTTTTATTTTTTGTCTTGTCTTTTATTGCTTCTGTCCTTTATCACATTTAAAAATTCCTCTCATTACAAAGGTCCCCCAAACCACCAAATTTGGTCCTTGCCAGGAGTATCAAATGATTTGGAGGTCTTTAGTCATGAGAGAATAGTAAACAACAGTACTAGATAACACTGACTACTCATGTCAGTTTCATCAAGACTAATAACTTTATGGACAGAGAAACTGAGTTATTTTGCCAGTTTTAGAATGAATTTTTTAAAATTATACTTTAAGTTCTAGGGTACATGTGTACAACATGCAGGTTCGTTACATATGTATAAATGTGCCATGTTGGTGTGCTGCACCCGTTAACTCGTCATTTACGTTAGGTGTATCTCCTAACGCTATACCTTCCCACGACAAGCCCCGGTGTGTGATGTTCCCCACCCTGTGTCCAAGTGTTCTCATTGCTCAATTCCCACCTATGAGTGAGAACATGCGGTGTTTGGTTTTCTGTCCTTGTGATAGTTTGCTCAGAATGATGGTTTCTAGCTTCATCCATGTAGCTACAAAGGACATGAACTCATCCTTTTTTATGGCTGCATAATGTTGGGTTTTATTTATGGTCTTTAAAAGTTTCCTTTAAAAAATAAATTCTAAAAGTTGAATAAACTTATGTAAATGGCACATAAATATAAAAAAAGCAAAACTAAAAACTTGCTGCAGGCCAAGATAGTGCTCTACCTTTTGCATTAGGTTTTTTCCTGGTTTTGGCTCGTTTCTTGAAATCTTGACGAAAGTAGAGTTGTTGTTTTCTACCGTTTTGTAAATGGCAGACATCTGATAAATGTGCAAAGGAATCTATGCAGTACAGGCTTCCCTTGACTCACATATCCTCGCTATTAAGAAGAGTTCTTTGGATGGAAAAATATTCTCAGTGTTTTTTGTAGTGTTTAGGTGAATTAAAAAAGGATAATTTTGTTATTAAAATGGTCACCGTTGATTGGCATTTCATTCTTGTTGGATGAACAGGCACCATCTCAGAGGGGGTTTTATGGATGAATGTAATGTCTATCTGCCTTTCTTTAATAAATCATCTATGTTAGTGATATTACCTGGCAGGAGGTCTGTTAGTGCTTTAGGTCTGCAGTCTTTGTGGTGTGATGAAGCGAAGATTCTATTAAAAGTCTACTCAGGTCCCCTTGGAAGTTTCTTGCCGATTTCTTTCCCTTTTAAAAATTAGAAATTGTCAGAGAAGATTTAAAATTTTCCCTTTTAAAAATCAGAAATTTAATGGAATACATACCAACAACCAAGGTGAATTGTCAGTATTCATCTTGGTTGTTGGTATGTATTCCATTAAATGTATTGTTGTTATCTGATCTTTCAATTAGGAGCAAACCCTTGGAAAATTAATTGTAAATTTTGTCCAATTTACGTAGGGACCTAGGAAATTCGATTAAACATATATTACATGCCTACATGCAACTAGTATTCTGCTAGTTACTGCAAAACTCATACCCATTTTACTTCCTACAAGGCCTTTGTCGAAGGACTTACAAGAAAGTAAACTGCAAGTAGTCTAAGATATGCCATGTTTTATGTTAAACACCAGATTAGAAATTAGGGCATGGCAAGGAGCTCCTGAACATCCATTTCATAGTAGTGTGGCTGACAGGAGTTACTTGGCATGACTGCTGTGATCCCTGTTAAAAGAAGGCGAGCTGCCTTGGGCATCAAAACAAATATCTTTTTAAGTCGTTAGTCTGCTTATGATGTTCCAGACACAGAGACATTAGAGGGAAGGCCTAAATATTAGCAACACATTATAAAAATAGTTGCAAAACACACAGATGCAGGATGTGATTGAAGAAGGAAAACTGTAATGTCAAACCTTCCATGTGCTAGACCAAGTCCAGTGTCCTGTCTGTGCTTTATAAATTAAACCTAGATAAGCTAGAAAAGCAATTCCCAAGCAAAAGCCTCAAGTAAAAGGATGTCAAATTATAAATTTCTGAGAGACAGCTGATCATTCCATTCCTCTTTCAGGAAGAGCCCAGTGCCACATAGCTTACATCTAGGCACTGTGCAAAGTCTGGGCTTTCAGGCGTTAGGCCCTTAGCAGACAGCTTTACTCATCAGGATTTGTTTTAGTTGCCCAAATCAAAAATAACAATAATAAAACTTCAAGTTAAAAATATGGTCACCAGCCAAAGCTAGAGAAGAGTATATTGTTAGCATTTTATAGCCATGAGTTCCACATCCACAGATTCAACCACAGACCAAAAATATCTGAAGGAAAAAGATAATAATACAATAATAAAAATACAAATATGATACTAGGCATTATAAGTAATCTAGAGATTTAAATATGAGAGGATGTGCATAGGTTATATGAAAGTACTATACCATTTTATGTAAGGGACTTGAGTATCCTTGGATTTTGGTATCCACAGGGGTCCTGGAACCAACCCGCCAGTTACCAAGGATGGCTGTAGACTGTTGGAGTCAATTGCCAATAAGTGGAAAAAGCTGAGCCTTCAAGCCAAGGCTCCTTATGACAAGAGTGGCCCGTTTCTCCCTGCTGTGCCTGCTGTAACAAAGTGCTGTAATCTTTGACTCACAAAGTAGTGCTGGCGAATCCCGGGTCTGATTCTCTGGTAGGAGTGGAGCATTCCCCAGCCCCACAAATCAGCGTGGGTCCTGTCCTCTCCTCCCGCTTTTTGCAGTGACCTTCAGAGCTGCCACCATTAACACTGCCAGCTTTTGCAGAAGAATATATACTGGCTCAAACCAGTTCCTTGTACATCTTTTTTTTAAACGGAAAAATACAAGAAATGGGTATGTTTTATTAAGTGGAAAGGGATGCTCTGAGCTATTCAAAGAGCAAAGAAAACAAAAACACTGATCTGTTCCTTGGGTCCCTAGCTTTCTTTTTTCAGGACTGTGGGCTTTATTTCTGCCCACCTATTGGCCACCAGACCAATGACGTATCTTTGATGATACTGTGAAAACTGTCGCTATGATGAGAGCATATTCCGTGAGAGCCACACAAGAATCTCAGACAGGGAAATTCCTCCTGTGGTCAGCTTGTATTTGACGTGTGGTTGTGGCCTTCCTGCCTTTCTTTTCTTCACTTCCTGGCCTTAACAAATTGTAGTGATCTCTAACGAGAAAACTAGCACACAGAAAAGAAAATTTATGAGTATACTTCCTAGAAAGTCCAATCTCATGTTTGGATTTTAAAAACTGAGCCAGATTTTTAAAAGTTGTTACCATCATCTGATTCTAAAATATGAGTTTCAGTCTTTACTTTTATGCTTCTTAGTCTTCTAAAAGTTATTCAGAAGTATTATTGATACATACTAGAAAATAGAACTGCTTTTATTGGCCATCCTCAAGTTTAATTTACATCAAATACTTTGAAAGTCAGTGATGAAATGTTACCAAAATCAATAAATTTTGTTTTGGGATTGATTCCTTTCTTCCAATTGGTTGTTCTTCATGCACTCTCGAGCAGCGGTCAGGAAACTTTCTGAAAAGAGCCAGCTAGTAAACATTGTAAGCTTTTTGGGCCATGTATGCGTCACTGCAGCTATTCAGCTGTGCTGTTACAGGATGAAAGCAGCCGTAGACAATAGGTCAACAACAGGGTATGGCCACATTCAAATACAATTTTTATTTTTGAACATGGAAATTGGAATTGTATATAATTTGCACATGTCACAAAATATTTTTTAAAAACCATTTAAGAACGTAAAGATGGCTGGGCGTGGTGGCTCAAGCCTGTAATCCCAGCACTTTGGGAGGCCGAGACGGGCGGATCACGAGGTCAGGAGATCGAGACCATCCTGGCTAACACGGTGAAACCCCGCCTCTACTAAAAAATACAAAAAACTAGCCGGGCAAGGTGGCGGGCGCCTGTAGTCCCAGCTACTCGGGAGGCTGAGAAAGGAGAATGGCGTGAACTCGGGAGGCGGAGCTTGCAGTGAGCTGAGATCCGGCCACTGCACTCCAGTCTGGGCGACAGAGCGAGACTCCGTCTCAAAAAAAAAAAAAAAAACGTAAAGATTATTCTAAGCTCACAGACCTTACGAAAATAGACGGTAGACCAGATTTGGCCCTGTTTTATGGCTTTGGTGGAATAGTAAACAAAACGTCTTCACTTGCATTTCTTCAAGTTCTAGGAGAAAGCAAATAAAGTTCTATTGCTATCAGAAATATAAAAAATACCATTGCCTACTGAAAGATTCTAAGCTTAATGTAAAGTCAAATACTCCAACTGATGAAAACGTTGAGTGATTTCTCCTAGAGATAACACATGTCATATGATTTAAGCAGAATCAGACCTCTGTAGATGGTAGCTCTGTTTCTTTGGCATCGGTTGATTAGTCACCTACTGTGTGCTCAGCTCTGGCTAGGTGCTGGGGGTACGGCATTGAACATGGCAGTCCCCAGTTCAAGCTTTCATGGAACTTTTTATTTTGCTGGTAGTTGATTGATCCTCTGTAATTAGTTACCCGATCTGAAGCAAATCGTATCTGCTGTGTGATGTCTCAGACACTAAAGTGACACAAGTAGATGTTTGGTACACAAGCTATTCTAAAACATCTCAGTTTTTGTCTGGTCCTGCGTCTGTCTAAAAGGATTTACCTATTTTTAGTAGTCCTGAAGGAAGGGTTAGAGCTTTTACCTTTTCAACTTTGGGGGCAAGTATGTAGTGTTAAACATATTGCTGTTTTCTTTCAGGTGCATGCTCCGAGTCCTCGATTCATTTGGTACTGAACCTGAATTTAATCACGCAAATTATGCCCAATCGAAAGGCCACAAGACCCCCTGGGGAAAATGGAATCTGAACCCTCAGCAGTTTTATACCATGTTCCGTGAGTATTCCTGTTTCATGTATGCTTTCCAGAATGCCACCAAGAATAGATGAGAAAATCAGCCGCCATCTATTTTGGGTTATGATTCTCAGGACCATTAGCTGTAGAAGTCTGTGCTGTTGAACCTTTCCTTGGGAATTACTGAATTGGTTTGTTTTGTTTTGTTTTGTTTTGTTTTTTAGTTGAAATCGAAAGGCCACATTAACATTTTTTGAAAAGCTTGGAAATATTCTGGAGAAAAAATGTTCAGTACAAAGTATCATTAGAAACTACTTGGGAAAGGACTTTGCAGTGACTTTAGATTGGCAGGCACTAAACACATTTTATGCCACATAGATGCTATTTAGGGTACACTTTGTCACTAATGAGGGGTGAAGTCTTTCATGCAGATCTATTTTCCACATAATTAAACCTGAATTATTTAAGCATCAAACTTTTTAAAGAAAAAAATAGCTTTTAAAAAATGGAACTGTTTTAAACTCAGTTTTGTATTTTACTGACTTCTTCAATCCTCGGCCCAGAATGAAATTTTGCCTTCTCTTGCTGACTTGGTGTCATTGTTTTCAGCAGCAGTGCTTATTTCATGAGCCAATACAGTAAGAACAGCACACCAAATGCTGATGAATTAACTGGCCACAGATGCTAGGCTCTTAGACATTTTCTGTTTCTATAGGGTTATTTCCCCACTTTTACCATTTCTTCCTGCTGCTTTCTGTTTACCTGGCACTAGCCTCATTTCTAATTAGCTGAGGACTGTGAACTCAAAAACCACATTTGATAGTGTTTATGCCAACAATGAATTTATTTTGTAAGTCAATAGTCTTGAGTAATGAGATGAAGCCCTATTCCAGAAGTGAAAGGCCACATGAGATAATTTGGATGATGAGAGAATTCCTGTTTTCTAAAATTATCAGGATAAGCTTGATCCAGAGGTTTCCACTTTGTAACTTCTGAGATGAATCTGTTTGCTTTGTAGAACCAAGACCCAAAAGACTCCTTCCTAATCTTCTTCCCATGTGGTTGTCCCTTCCCATTGTATGCAGCTACCTGAAGGTAACCCCTGTCTCACACTCACTAAATGTAACAGCACATGCATTGGACTAATCTTTGGGTGTTAGGCATGAGAAGGGAGAATTAAGAATGGAGAGTAATTTTAAAAATCAACTCATCCTTAAGTGTTCTATTAAGCTCAGATTTGTGAGAGTGTGTTGTATGCTTCATAAACGTCATTGTTCATGGAGCTGTATCATCCTACTATTACACACCGTCCCTGGGGCACAGTTCATGGGGCAAATAGATTTTTGGCACATTAGGTAACAGATGGCTTTTAGTGTGGTGAGGATGCTCAGAGTTTGCCTGTGATTTGACTTTGCTGTGTAACTTTGAGGGATGGGATAAGGTGGCACAGAATAGCCTAAGAAGTGACCTGTGTGTTAAACCAAGTGAAATAAAACATTGACTGTGTTCAAAGTGACTAAAACCGCTGGGTGCTATGGCAGGTGTGTGCCCCACAAGAGATGGAGTTTCCAGGGAGTAGAGAAGAGAGGTTTTTTTTTTCCCTAGAAAACAAAGTTCTATTTTAGAATGTTGGAATTCACAGTCCTGCAAACCTATTTTGTTCTCCATGGATGGAGAACTTCAGCAGTATTGGTTGATTAAATTGAAGGAAATTCACTGCTTAAAATGCAACTGAAGATAAAAACATGGATTAATTTCTGTTAACCTGGGAAGGGAATTAGTTCCCTAACCATGACTCAGAATTCAGCAGAAATGAGGGAAAATTGATATGCTTGACTATATTTTTAAAAAAAGAAGAACCTGTATGGCAAAACAACAACCAATAACATCATAAGTAAATGATATCACAGAGGGCTAAATTACTAATATAGACCCTTATATATACACATACATATATATTTATATATATATACATTATATATATGTATTTATATATATATATAAAAATTAAGAAAAAGTTCCATGTTCCAACAGAAAAATGGGAAAAGGCTATTAAGTTTAGAGGAAAGAGAAATTTACTGCTCTGAACATATGGAAAGATGTTAACTTTACTCACAGTAAGAGAAATGCATTTTTAAACTGCACCAAGATACCATGTCCCATGTACAGATTGGCAGAAATGCAAAAGTTGAACAGCGTAGCTATTCTGATGATGCGGTGAGCAAAACCAGCCCTCTTCAACCCTAGTGGTTAGAATGCAGCATGGTACTACCCCAGTGGGGATGTGTTTGTCAGGATCTAGTAAAACTGCCTCTGCATTTTCTTTCTTCAACTAAGCACCTCGTATATAGGAATCTATTCCAAAGATAATGAGCAAAATCAAGATGTGGCATGTGCTCAAGGGCATTTAGTGCAGCACTATTTGTGATAGGAAGCAACAAGAAACAACCCAAGTAATCATCATAGAGGACTGAGTGAATAATATGATCTATTAATAGAATGAAGTACTACGTAGCTATAAAAAGAAATGAGGAAGGCTTTCATTCCAGGAGGGGCATGTCTAGGATATTTTAAGTGATAAGAGTCAATGTGCAGGACAATGTAGAGCTACTCCCTTTTATATATGTCAGATATAGAGGAAGAGTGTGTGTGGTCGTGTTAGTATATATGAATGAACTTATATTTCCAAAAGAAACAATGAAAGGACAAATAAACTAATAAAAGTGATTGCCATTGGATAAAGTGATTCCCACTGGATAAAAAGGTATCCAGGGATGGGGCTAGAAGGCTGATGTCTTTTAATGTTCCTTATTTTGACTTTAAGACCATGTAAATGTTTTACCTAATTTAAAAAGAGAAGTATTCCGAAGAATTCAAAGTAGGATCTCAAAGAAGTATTTGCACATTCATGTTCACTGCAGTAGTATTCCTAATAGCCGTGAGGTAGAAGCAACCCAAATGTCCATCCACACAAGTGGATAAAGAAAAACGTAGTGTACATATATATGCAATATTATTTAGCCTTAAAAAGGAAGGAAATCCTTCATATGCTACAACATGGATGAACCTCAAGGATATTATGCTAAGGGAAATAAGCTAGTCACAAAAAGGTGAATACCATATGATTCCACTCATAAAGTATCTAAGGTAGTCAAAATCATAGAAACAGAAAACGGAAAGGTGGTTACCAAGTTGGGAGGAGGAATTAGTGTTTAATGGCTATGGGGTTTCAGTATTACAAGATGAAAAAGTTCTGAAGATCCCTTGCATACCAGTGTGAATATACTTAACACTACTGAACACTTAAAAAAGGTTAAGATGGTAAATTTAGTGTTACTTGTTTTTTACCACAATAAAAATTCAAATAAAAAAGAAAAGCATTCACTAAGAATTGAAAGCAGATAGAGACAAACCTAGCTATATGCATGAGGTTGATGTTAACCTCTCATATAGAGAAGATTATTACTTAAGTGGCTTTAAAAGACCATGCTTTGACTATACAGTTGTAGTGGGAAGTATTTATATTGTTACTTGAAACTGTTATAGGTATGTTGTAGGAACCAAGATCTTTAGTATACAAAAAGAGGGGAGTACCTAAAGATTCTAGATTCCGGAATGATACACCAACCAAGAAAACTCCACAAAGTGTAGTGGGTCACCTTTGCAAATTGCTAGGATACTACCTCATTACTGTAAAAACTAAAGTGAAAGAATTCAGCTTTGATCATGCCTTTCTAGCACAAATTGTATTTGAAAATAATCAAACAGTTGATGAGAGAAAGTCATTAATCATGGAGAAATCACAACTAATAAATGCAAAAGGAATGAATTAGAAAATGAGCATTATAAAAGTCCTGATGAGACAGTAGAGCAAAACAATCATCATCAGTGGTCGCTAAATCCATCAAGTAACAGGTTGATGGAAAACTTTCTCATGGATGAGGCTGACTTGAATGGAGGAAATATGGAAATGAATAGAGAAATAAAGCAGTTTGAGACCTTTATCCTATTCAGATGTGTCTGAGCCCGGAAAATTTGCAGCAACAACAAAAAGCTCCTGCACTCTGTTTTCCAGCGCCCGCCCACAGTGAACTTGGATGCATGCTTGGAAGAGGGTCCCTTTCTTCCCATGTGACAAAGGCCTGGGGTCCAGTCTACTAGGTCCTTCCCATATAGCCCTCCATTCCTTTACCTTTTGGGTCAATGTGGCTACTGCAGTAGTCTGAAGAGAAATAGCATTCCTTTGAATATCAAAAGTTATATTTATTTATTGTTAATTTTTCAAAAGTGAAACATTTACTAGTGCTTAATATATGAGCTGGATAGTAATCATTATCTAATTTCTGTATAAATATGCACATATACTGAGGATGTACTCAGAATCCTATGTGCTTAGATTGTGTTCTACTGATGGAATGCGCAATGAAAAGTTCCGAGACTGTGGAAATAGAGTGCTATACTTGAGGAATCAAGTCTTCAGGACTAGCTGCCTTATCATAAGACGTAGCAGCGTTGTGGTTTATGTGCAGACAGAGAGCGTGGGGAAGGCCAGTCCAAAAGAACCCGGTGGGAAGATAAAGAAAAATACACCATTGGGATGCATCTTGAGGAGCAGTGAAACGAAATACGCTGGACCGGAATGTGTTTGCGTTCTTAAATATTCATGGTACACATCTCACTTTAAGACTCCTTCCGTTTCTCCTCTAACTCATTTTCTAAGTTGGTGGGGTTTCTACAAGTTGAAAAACCTTGCATTTCTGTATTATTTTGCCCACAGTCTCAGAAGTTCACTGGTGCCATTGCCATCATGTGTTCTCTTTGCAGTTAGGCATTTTAGGTGGTGTCCACATAGACTCTTCCTGACACCTTCCTAAGCAGCTTCTGGAGGGACTGGTGGCCAGACGATACTAAGGCCATTTGATTAGGTCTATTAAGTGATGGTTTTTCCCCAGGAATCTGGTAAGTCTGGTTGTTCCTCCTTCTAGGCCCCCATTCCTGCTCGCTCCTCCTGTCCACGTGTTAACATGACCTCTGAACTAGGT